TAGATGTTAATTAAAGCACTAAGTGATTAATCAGAATTATAGATGCAACATAAAAGAATTCGGCAATATGTTCCCAGTGAAATATTCATTTTCAAACTCTCCAGCTGCTTTACTTTGCCATAGAAAGATGGTCTAAAATAACGGCGAGCGCACTGTTTCTCTTTATATCTGTGTGTTATAACACTCTTTGTTGTCAGAGTGTATGAGCCAGTTTAATCTGGGTCTGCTTCAAAACATTTTACCGTCTGCTTGTCAGGAGTATAGGCTCGGCCTCATTCCAATATGAATGCATCATGAAGCAGAATACTACACTTTTTTTTCCCCCCCATCATCTCTCCTTCAGCGATTTTAACAACAGCGTGCCAACGAACCAGCAGCACACAAAGACAAATCAAAAACACCTTAGCGGAAAACTGCAGTACTGAGAAAGCAGCGAGAATGGGTTAAGCCTTGCATATGAAACAGGATCTAGATCCATGTGACAATACAATGGCCAAGGAAGTCCTCTATTCAAACTCTGACCATGTAATGTGATTAAAAGACGCTTTGTGCAAATGGCAGTTATTCAGGGTTTGAAAGACAAAATAGGCTCCCGGTTGTCGAAGAAAAGGTAACGCACTGCCTATTCATTGACCCTGCATCCAAAGCAAGGAGTTACTTTCCTGCTGGGAACCTTAAACAGAAGGAAGGAAAGAAAGCGAAAATGGACGACGCACAGTCAGCGCTGAGGAGGGAAAGATTAATAAGATCAGGAATGTGACCCCTGCAACAACTCCCTCGCTGCAATCTCGTCTCCCCTCGGAGATGGATTTGCGCTGCGGACAGCGGGATTGCTGATGAGAGAACTTGTAAATACATAATTAGGGTTCAAGAGTTTGGAGTGCTAGATCTTTGTTTCAGAGAGAATGTGTCGTCATTGAGAGGTTGGAAATTACACTTGGGGGAATGCTGCTTGAAGCGGCGGGTCAAGGTTTAACTACAGGACCTTTGACAAAGGGTAAGGTGTGAAGGAAGCTTGAGTTAAAGGTCAATAGGAAGTGACATCTCAGAACTCATTATCCTCATTAATGCCAGGTGAAGCACTGCCATTTCAGGAAAATGATATTCCAAAGAGGCCTACCCGTGGCTTTTTGGCTCCCTAAATACCTGCCCTTGACTCACTGAAAGAGGCGTCACTTCAGCAGGCGAAAGGTTGAATATCTAAACCGATGCTCTAAATTACAAAGTTAATTGTAATACGGCGTCGCAAGAAGATTTTTTTCCTTCTCTCTAAAGAGACGAGATAACATCTGCGCGTAAGATCCCGGCGCTTCATTTTTTAAACTCGGAAAACGTTTCGTTACATCTTGATTTAAAAGCAAAACTGGCAACCTTGTAGCAGAAATTCATTTTTGTCGAGTTTCTCTCTGTTTCCAAGATTTCATTCTAGTTTTAATCCACCTCCAGTGCATTTATACTCACCGCAATATTTGACAGCAGGTAAAAGACAAATAGATTCGTTGAACAGAAGCTGGTGGCCAAAAGGATCAGCAGCCAACGAAAAAAAAATTAAAAATAAATAATCAAATTGATCAAATTAATAACAATGAACGGAATGAATACATTAAAAAATGGTGTTGTTATGTTCAGTATAGTCACCGAAGCTAGTGGGCGTGGAAGCACTCAAAGCTTTTACTGAAAAAGCAGCAAGACCGTGTAAATACAGTCACTCTGAAGGAAAATCTGACACTAAAATGCCCAGTAATTATTGTAAAAGCGTTTATACCATAAAATTTGGATTATTCTATTCTCCAGCACCTAAATATTTAGTGCTTTGTTATTGCATCTGGTTAGTTATTGAGACAAAAAGGTTTTATATAGTTTCAAAAATGCGACAGGTTTGATAAACTGATGTAAAAAATCCGTAATAAACATGTAGCAGTAAGTAAATCTTTTTGAGTTACCCTCCAACGCTGACTGTGTCTGACAGACATTTAGAAGAAATGTTATAAGACACAGAAAGGTTTAGAAGATATATAAATATATAAATAAACATTAAAAAAAGGAAGATAAGGATAAAGATCCTGGATGCAGCGTTTGATTCAGTGATCTCTGAAAATTGGATTGCAAGGCGCAGTTGTTTACCTCTAAGCTCTGTGAATATCATCAAAAACTCCTCATCACTTGCCATGCTAAGGTAGTTGTATTGAAAAGGTAAGTAGCGACAGCAGTACCACAATCTGTGCCTGATGCTTGAAGCTGCGCTGAAAATCCTGACATTCACACTCCAGAGCTGCCCTTTTAAATCTGCCCATAAATGAATTTCCTCTGCAGTTTGTGCCCTTCTGTCAAGGGTGTGTAGGTGTACGGCACTGTATGTGTCACCATGGCTCACCGATGGTGCAGTGTTCACCCGTCCAGCCCTGGTGGCAGTCACACTTGCCCTCTCGGCAGACTCCGTGGTCGATGCAGCGTGGGTGACAGTCCCTCTGCTCACATTCTGGTCCTGTCCAGCCTTCCTCGCAGTGACACACACCACTTATGCAGGAGCCGTGGGGGCCACAGTCCACCACACACACCTCTGTCGCAAAAAAAAAAGAGTCATGGAGACATGTAGCTTCTGTTTCTTGAAAAGTCTTTTTCCCCCCTCCCTTCTAGACTCGTGTATTTTTGTATGCTGAATAGATGCATCTGCCAACGCAGAAAAAAAACACTCTGATGTTTGCTAAGTGTGAGCTTCCTCAGTGAAAGTGGGCCAATAAGTTTAACTGTAAACAAGACATAAAAACCGTGCAAGAAAAATCCCGACACTGCAGGGCAACTACTTCAATGTCTGACACTATTTCATCTAAAGAGTCAAAATTACTGCTATCTGTTAAAAGAATGTTTAAGACGCGTCGTTATGCACGGGAAATGTCAGGCCTTTGCTGCTTTCTTGTGCGATATGGATCTCAGTGGACTTGTTGTGGAAACAATTCTTTTTAAAAAGAGTGTAGGCTGGAATGCACGACAGACATAAAAAAAAAAAAAAATTTGCATAGAAAAAAATGTCCTTTTAAGTTTTATCCTGCTGCTACTTTACCAAAATGCAGACTGAGTGGTGAGAAAAAAAAATATTTCTTCATCTACAATTTATCATATTAATCTTGACATATGACATGATCACTTTTAGGGATCCAGGTGAAAATCCTATGTTTCCCATGTAGCCTTTAAACGACTCTACACGGCAATGTGCACGGAATTACAGAAACTAGTTCAAATGCACACTGAAGGAATGAAAAATTAAAGGTTCTGCATGTCCCATTGGAGCACTCGTGTTGGCCACACCTCCCACATTCCTTTCGCCTCTCAGCAAGGTGCAGACAAACAACGAAACAAAGAAAGAGAAAAAGCTCTGAAAACATACGATTCAGCCATTTGTTTGCACCATTTTGAATCTCTGAGTTCGGTATTTGGGGAGTTGCCATGTTGTAGTCTGGAGCCAGAAACAGCTATATTTTGATGAAAGGGTAGAGTGCCAAGTTATCAGCTAAGGCTAGCAGGGTGCATTCATACACTATATGGATGCATCACACAGATAAGTACATGCTAATTAGCACCAACATAAATAATAACATGCCATCTGTCGTAAGGGCGAGTGGAAGCAAGTGGATGGATGGATAAATAATACTAGAAATTAACTGATTGACAAAAAAACAAAGAAATACGAAGAGAAAAAAACAGCGAGACCTCTGGCACGATCTTAAATAACTGTCCACAAAAAAATCTTAAAATTTGTAACATAATTAAATTTAAAATGCGCTAAAAGGATCAAACACTACAAACATGGAGGATAGCTCCCGTTCAGTGACTCTAATTAGCCGTCTGTCAACCCACAACCTGTCTTTCAGAGAAGCCCCTCTCGCTTGTTAAGCAGTGCTGTATCAATCATGTTTCGTGCAGCCACAGAGGCTGCAGTCTTTCTAACGTGTCGTGATGCTGTTTTATTTAATAGAAAGAATCATTTCTATGACTATGTGGATGCTTCAGAAAAAAATCAGGGCCGTTTCACACAAAAAGCGACATGCTGTGCGCCGACCGCTAGGTTGACCGAGTCGGAAATGATGGTTGCACTGGCTGCTGCGCTCTGCCTGTAATATGGAATTTCTGTGTATTACATGAGCCTGCTCTGGTCATCCTGTGTTTCTATTGGTTGTGTGAATGTTTGACTGTACTGCTGTCAAAAGTCAACCATAGCAGGTGCTCTTCGACTATCCTGCGCTTCACTGTTGATATTAAGCTTTGGATCATGACTTTTTCCACAGTAATTCAAACAACACATCAATATATTTAAACTCGTGTTGTGGATGTGATCTTAGACGTTCTATTAATGGAGGTTTGATCTGTTTTCAGCATTTTTCTTGCTTTATGTTTGGCTTTGCCCGTTTACCTTCAACAAAACCTTTTACTGAGGGAAAAAATAATGAAATATTATTTATCATTTGATTCTAAGTCAGGTAACCCACCTTTACTAACTCTTCAAATGTTGTTGTTATTTATTTTTGCATTTCTGTTTATGTCCATAATGATAGAAAAGCCATTTTTGTTGTTGTTTTTTTCCCGAAACTAAAGAGCTAACTTCTTGCAAAGTTCCAACTCCACTAAACTTTGTAAATCCTGTTTTCATAGCTTCTTGGATGTTAAACTTTATTGAAAAACCTGGGAGAACAGCCACACTGATTATTTTGTTGGAGCTGAAAGAATTCAGACTGTTTTTAACTTTTACCCGCCCCCGAGT